ATGAAACTGTTGACAAGTCAGATAAGATTGGTTGAGGGAATGTTGTTAATGTAGAATTTCTTGTCAATAGATGGCTATCAGTAAACAATCGTGGTGAAGATGGAGGTGTTGAATTCGGTGATTGATTATTGATATTATTATTTCTATGAATGAATTGATCATTAGTATTACATAATAATAATAATGATGAATTACGATTGAATGGATTAGAACTTACACTACGTCGACGAATCATTAATCCTGTATTGTTTTTTGATTGAACATTTTGTGAACAATCATAATTTGGAATATTTGTTGGGACAATAACAATATTATCATTAAATGTTTTAGGTAATATAACGTTACTACTAATAGTAATATCATTGACACTATTATTATTATTACTAGAAGTAATAATAGTAGTATCGTTATTAGTAGTATTGATAGTGTTGATAGGAGCAGTAGTCGTTACTGTTGTTGTTGTTGTCGTTGTTATCGTTGTGTTATTCATACTCCATATAAGTGAACGACGACGTACACGTGGATCTAATGGTTCTGAAGTAACTGATGTCAGTGAATAAAAATTCGGATATAGAGCATCCATTATTCCTTTATTTATTTATTTATTTTAGAAGAGAATGGAGTAATATAATTCCAAATGGAAGAAAAAGCCATTAATTTCGGTAACATTCTTGATACTATCTAATCGTTTGTAAAGTAATCATATAAGTAGTATTATTCCATAGAGTAAAATAAACTTTCAACTATGTGTTCCATCCATTGAAACTATACAAGATCATTTGAATGTTGATCATGATATTTTTTTAAAGAAGAATTTACTGTAGAATAGTCTGTAAGTATATGTACATATGTACATTAATTCGTTAATACACAATTATATACACTATTCGATACTGACGACTATCAGTGTGTGTGTGTATGTGTATGTACACGTACCTATTCAGGCATCATAATGATGATGATGATGATGATCAGAAATACAATCCTAGTTGCTGACTATTCAACTGTTAAACATTATAAAACTTCAAAGAATATATAGATACACATAAAATGCACATATGTATCCGACCTAGAGACATATAAGCACATTTGAATGATTCAATTGGAAATTTTCGATGCTATTCTACTAATTTAAAATCATCCCTTCGGATATGTATGTACATGTCTACGATGTTCATTTTTACAATGATAGACATAATCATATATATATACATAGACAATACTAATAACACATAGCCATAAGAACAAAGGAATGTTTACTATGTTTTTCAAGAAACGATTTAAGAAAACTGGGATCATGCACCATTGTATTACACTTTATAAACTTGCGCGCATACAAACACACACACCCATACACTCCCATTCTTCTTATTGATCGGTTCTTGAGGAATGTGAAGTGTATTTATAGTTTGAAAGTTAAAACGGATTGGAAATATCTATTCGACAATTTAATTTTCAAGCAAACAACCAAACAAACAAGTGTCTATAAAGCAGCAATGTATGTGTGCGTGTGTGTATATACGGGCACATTCACTACAGTTACTACAATTTACCGGTAGTGAATCGGTTTTGTTTTTCGATATATATATATATACACACACACGTATGCCTACTTATGTAATACTGTATCGATCGAATTAATAGGTTATTTTAATTTTTTGTTGCTATCGCAGCATTTACACAATTAGGAAACATATTCTCATGACTGTTCATCATGATGAGTATAAAAAGATGTATGTATTTAGTGCGTATAGAATTATGCAATTGTGTACTATTATTTGCTTAAAGAAAAACCTTTTATTGACTTGTAATACTTCGGTAATCACCTATTATGAAATCTAACATTTATATTATGTTCATAATTAGAGAGGGATTTTGTAGAAATTATAGTAATTTAATAGTTAAATTCATGAGACAAGTGAAGCTAGACCACCATGGAGAACTTGGAAGCACTGGACGACGGATTCTCCCTAGTATGGGACACCTCAACAGTGCTCACCCATCCTCCCAGCGAGATTCAAACACGGGACCTATCAGTCTCGCGCGTGAGTGCTTAACTACTAGATCACTGAGGCAGGATCGTGGACGTGCACTTCTGAGGAGTCGCATTCTAGGACAAAACGGCCATCCAGTGCTTCCAGGTTCTCCATGGTGATCTAGCTTCAATTGACTCATGATCTCAATTATCAAAATTATTACAATCTTCACAAAACCCCTTCTGATACTAATCAACAAATACTCATTAGTGACTGGCTTCAAGAGACACTCCTGGAGTTCTAGTAAGAAGCAGTAACCAGTGGAGTCCAACCAGGTCTGTTGTGAAATAGTAACTCACTGAAGACAATGGTGGATGTGTCGCTAAATTTCGTGGATTAATTGAAGTTAGACATAAACACCACCGGACGCCAGCCGGCTGAGTGGTCTAGTGGTTAAGCGCTCGCGCGTCAGACCAGTGGATCCTGGGTTCGAATCCCGCGGGGCAGGGTCATGGATGCGCACTGCTAAGGATTCCCACAATAGGACGAAACAGCCGTTCAGTGCATATACGTGCATTCACTGACATAAAGAAAACTAATGAATACACTTATTGAAAACTGTTCCTCCTCTCTCTCTCTCTCTCGCTTCGATCAGAGGTGTATATGGATGCAAAGGGAACACTCAAGCAGTGTATGTAAATCTTTGTGTATATGTGTTAGGGGGGGAGTTTTAAATGGGAAATTATTAAATATTCATTCTTTCCATGTGAGATATGTACGCTTATTATTATTATTATTAATGTTGATGAAGAGATTAAGGTTATGTTGGGATGCCTTGAAAACCTCTCGAATGTATTTTTTGTTTTCTGCATTAATATCTATTTACTCTTTACATAGATATGCCAAAAATATCATGAAAATGTCAATATATGTAATATAGGAAAACATAAATGTTAAGAAAATCATTATAAGGAATAAAACCTTTTTAAAGTTTATTTATTCAAGTATGTTACTAACATGTTACTACTTGCTGTGAATAACATTAAGGATAATTAATTGATCAGTGGGTGGTGATCAATGTCATGTATGTCAGGTCTTTCTTAGTGCAGATTGAATCCTATCGATCAAGTTACCATGTGGCCACCAGTCTAAGTGACTCGACATTGGATGCACTATGCTGAGATAAGATGGTGGTTGGAGGTACACCTTGTCGACGGGTGCCATGTAGCACGAAATCTAGGTCCAGGATTACCTGTTAACTATCTCCAACCACCATCTTATAACATTAAGCAAATATTACTTAGAATAAAATGAAAATTCATTGGAATGTTATAATTTCACTAACACACTTATAAATGTAAATTATCATTATTAATGAAGTTTAATAGTTGAACGTATATTTGTCAGAAGGCCGCGTTAAGACCTACATTTCATCCAGCTTGATATTTAATACTTAATAAAGTCTACACTTACATTCATGAAAGAACTGATACGAACCACCCTGTGAGATTTGAACTAATCATATTCATAAATGTTAATAATCAGTTATTCATACTGTAATTGACTTTTAATTTAGGGATGAGATTTAAACATACTGGGTAGCAACCAATTAAATTTTGTACTTAATGATTGATTAGCTGATACTAACTAGAATGGAATTTAGGCCATCTATTCAACTGGCCTCTTGTTAGTTGCCTTCAACTATCTAACACTGTACATTTGATCACGTTGTCATATATTATCATCTAACTAATAAAATTTATAGTTTACACCATTAGAGATAAGACATACTTCAGATACTTTTAGATGGTGGAGATTTGTAACTGAGGTCAGTCAGTCAGCTACAACGTAGAACCAGGCACATATGTACATCGGTCCAAGTTGCCATACCTCATTAGCACAACAAGATGAAGACCAAATTTATAGAAGTAGTTAACTCATTGGTGGTAATATATAGAAGAAAGATTGCGCCACCGTACAACATTGTCTTCAGTAAGCTGATATCTCACAACAGACCTGCTTGAACTCCACTGGTAACGGCTTCTTACTAGAACTCCAGGATTATTTCTTGAAGTCAGTCACTAGTGAACAGTTGATTATTACCAGTGGTCTATTGGTTAAGCGGTCGCACGTGAGAGTGATAGGTCCTGGGTTCAAATCTCACGAGCGGCGGGATCGTGGATGCGCACTGTTGAGGAGTCCCATTCTAAGACGAAACGGCCGTCCAGTGCTTTCAGGTTTTCCATGGTGGTCTAGCTTCAACTGACTCATGATTTCAACCTGTGAAATTTACTAAAATCTCCACAAAACTCATTCTGTTAAATAAAATTGTTCTGTTGCAATTACGACTTCTTTGAATAACACGTTTATTCAATGAAGCCCTAATTTCTCACTTTAGTCTCTCATCAGCCGAGTGGACGTACAATTCTAGTCATAATGTAGCGAACGAGAACACAAGTTGGTACAATCGAACGTATGTGAACACGAAATTACGGAATCTCTTAGTAAAATCAGTGAACCATACAGTGAAGACTTCATTTGCAAAATATCTGTCAATCGTCTCAGATTTCATTGTTCCTGCATTACCATACCAGTTGCTTTTTGTTCATGTTCTTTTCTTTTCGATCTTCTTGACCTTCTGCTGCCAGACATTCTATTCTTGACTAGCGTTAGATACTACTTATTTTGATATAAGTAGTACACATCACAATTGTATCTATCATGTATTAGTTATCAGGTTTGTCTAGTTTACGTAAATCTTGTCTCATATTCGTAAAGGAAACAAAATCTCATAATCATTCCTAATTTAGAATAATCTCAAATTAGGACATTAGATTAATGTTGAAATGGTGATTGTTTCATCTGTCGATAGTTATACTGAAATCGTTGGTCGCATTTATTATTAGAAAGAAAGAAAGAAAGAAAGAAGGAAAGCAGGAAAGTAGGAAGGAAGGAGAGAATGAAAGAAGATATTTGACAGATTCATAGAAAGAAAGAAAGAAAGAAAATTTACCATGAACTTACATTCGTTGTTAATTGTGTTGTTAATTCACTAACTTTTTTCTCAGCTTGTTCAAGTTTACGTTTAAGTTTTTGTATCTATGACAAACAAACAAACAAACAAAAATATTGACAAGAATTCCTTGGAAAATGTTATAGTGAAAGGAAAAGAGAGGTGACTTGAATTAGTAACAAAGGACCAAGTGATATGTCTTACTACCGATAGACGTAAAATCTAAGCGGAATCTAAACAGAATAAACTTTACAATATGTGATCTCTTAAATTCAATGTAATCAAACATATCAGTCTTCAATCACTGACTAATCATGGCTTACTTCCATCTGGTACACTAGTTCTCTATTCAACTTTGATGTAAGAAAAACCGTTGGATACGGAGTCAGTGGTTTAGAGGTTAAGCGTTCGAGCTCCAAACTAAAACTGCTTGATTTTGATTCCCTTTGATGAAGGGTCATGGATATGCACAAAGTGATATATTTTACTACCGATACGCGTAAAATGTCTTCCGAGTTAGTTCCTATAACTCTAGACTACTTCTACATGTCAACTGGAACAATAAAGAGAAGGCACGAATTACGTGTAAAAGCTTTAATTTATGGTTAGTTCATGTACAGAAAAAGCAAGGTTATGTATGGATTCCTCCATGACCTAGCGCTTCTGCAAATTTCCGGGACCATACTAACTATATCAGTGGTATAGATAATTATCCAGTCAGAATTGTGATATGTGATTCTATCCAATGCTGATTGGATAAAACATTTCCTAGAGCTTCTAGGCTTTTAGAGAATTTAATAAGAGACATTTAGGGACTTCTCCAACACTTTGAACCACGAAGCCATTGAAAACCTGTTTGTTTCTAGTATGAGACTTTTCAGCAGTGTGCACGCACAACCCCACCACTAAGGATCAAATCAAGGACACTTGAGTTTCATTATGAGCGTTTGACGTCCAGATTATTGGCTAGGTACCTAATAGTTGATATTATCTAAAGTCACTCAGTCTGTGATATTGCTCAACCATCGTCCAAACTTGAATTGTACTGGTCACAACTTCTCACAAAAGCTTCAGGAAATACCTCTCGAAATCATTCACTATTGACTACAAGGACATTATAACTGTGTAATGCCGATAGTCCAACTAAGATCAATGTATGCTGTAAACCATAAAACTCAACACTTTCCATGAAATCCCTTTAAGATTAAGTCATTTAAACACTAGTTATTTTGTTGGCCTACTTCTATCTGGTACACTGGTTCTCTATTCAAGCTTGATGTAAGAAAAACCACTGGATGCGGAGTTAGTGTTTTAGAGGTTAACCGTTCGAGCTCCAAACTCAAACTGTTTGGTTTTGATTCCATTTGGTGAGAGATCGTGAATGTACACTGCTAAAGAGTCCAACATCAGGACGAAATGGACATCCACTGGCTTAGCTTAGATCGGTTCATGATTTTAATAAAATTTAACAATCTCTGCAACCTAATACTGATAATGAGCGAATCAAAGTTGTTATTGCAATAAAAGCAACAAATATATAAGCATATTGATCAAGAAACACAACATAAAACTGAACTCACTTCTTCAGCTTGTTTTTCCTCTACCTAGAATAGATATTTGAAAAAGGAATACAATCAGATTAATATATACATATGAAAAAATATATATTCACTATGACGGTGAATTGAAATCCACTTCAATATAACTTACAAATGTATACATAAAACACTGTTTTGATATAAGATCTTCAAAATGAACTGAATTCTATCGGTCCGATTGTTAAGGTAGAGGTGTGGTGTGTGCTACTTATTTTGACATAAGTAGTATATGATGTTAGTCGTGAACAGAACAATAGCCTTCTGTGGGAGAGAACAAACCAACTTCCAGCTGAAGAAGAAATTAGGAAAAGACGATGGAAATGGATAGGACATACATTACGCAAATCGTCAAACTGCATCACGAGGCAAGCCCTAACTTGGAATCCTGAAGGGAAGCGAAAAAGAGGAAGGCCAAAGAACACATTGCGTCGGATAATAGAAGCAGATATGAAAAGGATGAATTACAACTGGAAGGAGCTAGAAAGGATTGCCCAGAACAGGGTTGGATGGAGAACGCTGGTGAGCGGCCTATGCTCCTTCACGAGGAGTAACAGGTGTAAGTAAGTAAGTATGTTAGTCGTGAACAGAGAGTCTGGCAGCAGATAGACAAGAGGATCGAACAGTAAAGAATGAAAACAGGATACAATTTGTATGAAAATGCAAGAACAATGAAGTCTTAGTCATTTTGAGGCGATTGGTGGACATTTTGTAAATTAAGCATTTACTAAACGTTTCTCAGATTTTATCGAGATGCTCTGTAATTTGGTACTCAAATACATTCGATTGCCCCACCCGTGTTCTTGTTCACTACAGAGGATCTGGTCGAACTCATTCGATTTGAAGTTCATCTTTATTAAGAACTCGTCATTCTATAGACATATGCAAAGATATACCACTGTAGATGATACTGTACTCATGACGTTCAAGTGTTTAGAGAAAGTCTAATACTGTAATGAACGAGAACACAAGTGGGGAATATAGATTTACAGAGTATTTTAGTAAAATCTGATAACCATACATTAAATACTTCATCTCAGACTTGACTTTTCCTTCTGCAAATGTCAATCAATTGTCTCAGACTTCATGGTTATTGAGATTTCACACTAATCATTCTTTGATCTTGTTCTCTTTTCTTTCATCTTCTTAACTTTCTACCTCCAAATATTTCACTTTAGACTGATTTTACATACTACTTATGTTTGTCGAGATCAGTAGCACACACTTATATATTTAATCAATTCATAGTTATTTGACAAAATAATCATTTTTAATAAAGTTGAACTATATCACATATCAGAACTTTTTAATGGAATTTCGGATGATTCTTTCTGGAACCTGATCAATCTATAAATGACTCTAATAGTGGATAAAGCAGCTAACTAGATGACTTAAAAGCTGAAGAGTTAGATAAAGTCTATGAACAACCTAAATCTTGTCAATCATAATGAACAAGTTTTGATAGTAGTCGGTTGATTTTAATCTATCATTGAAAATCAGTCTCAAATGAATCATTTCTTCAATACGATATCAATAGTCAAGTAATATTGAGTAGTTATTCAGCAGTATAATTCATTTCTGGCAATATATGACTGACTTCAAGAGATTCTCTTGGAGTTCTAGTGTGAAGCCGTTACCAGTGGAGTTCAACCAGATCTGTTGTGAGATTTCAACTCACTGAAGACAATGGTGTACAGTGGCGCAACTTCGTGGATTGGTTGAAGTTAAACATTAACACCGCTGGATGCTGGGCCGGTTTAGTGGTCTAGTTGGTCAAGCACCTGGCGTGAGACTGATAGGTCCTGTGTTCGAATCTCGCGTGGTGCAGGATCGTGGATGAGCACTGCTGAGGAGTCCCATGCCAGGACGAAACGGCCGTCCAGTGCTTCCAGGTTTTCCATGTTGGTCTATCTTCAATTGAACCATGATTTCAATCAGTGAAATTTATGGAACGTTTAGAAACATCGTGGAAGTAGCTTAACATTTACTGGATTGGATTTGTAAGTGTATATACTTTTTCTCAATTGATAACACATTACAGTTTTAAATGGAAGTTAACTCATCCAAGTCTAAGTGTGTAACATGAATACTGTGATATAGGTGTGTCAGGCTAACAATTCTTAAATGAAACGAGATAAATGTACTAAATTCCATTGTTAGTCAATTTACAAGTTTAATTAAATTAATGGGATTAGATTTTTGAAAAAAAAAAACTCAGTAGACAATTACGCAATCGCCTTAATGCGATTTTTCTTTAAAAAGCGTTAAACTACTGAAATATGTACAAGTAGTAGAGTGAGATCTGAAAATTAATGTAAATTCACTTGGTATTCTTTGCTTGAATCTTCCCATTGTGGTTTAAGATTGTAATTGATAAGTCTGTTATTGACATATGTGAATACTATGCATATCGCATCGATATTAATTCACAAGCTTTATAAGCAAATATGGATGAGTCCCGAATAGGACGAAACACATGTCCTGGATTCCAGTGCTAACCACTATCCATTTTTGCTTACTAATATATAGTTTTTTATACTGAAATCTTCATTGCAAATCTTCATAAGCAAATAAATATATTTATGTGTATGATTTGATCAGTCTTGTCATATAATAGTTATCAGTCACTGGTATTCAGGACGGCATTCATGCCCATTTGAAAAGTTTTAGTCTATCTGAACTCCGAGGATAATGGGTTATTTTGTGAAGATAAGGAGACTGGGTTCATGTCTGATTGTAAATATCATCAGTGAAATGGAGTTTTGAACAGCTGATCAGTCTGAAATAGAACAAAGTATGCATCCTAAACTCCACTGCTGATCATGATCCATTATCTGTATATAGCTAGTGACAGATTATTTATATCAAAGTACTTCTTTCAGAATGCACGTATTTCAACTAAAGTTGACCCATATTCAACCCTGTATATTATCTGATCAATAGTGTAGATCACGTTATGATTACCAATGTCAACTGGACGGTTTAACAGTGAGTTATAGTTTTTTTTAATTGAGTTTAATTTCAGTTTGTTAGTTATCATCAATTTTTCTGTAGACTATCAATTTAAGGGATTTATGGTATAGATGAGTGTAGAGGTCGTTGAGTTTTGTCACTTTGCATCGTTTAATAACTTAAATCAGATAGTTAATGAAAGTTATAAGATATTAGACAACTGTTTGATCATATGAAAGGCTGTTTTTCAGCAGTGAACATCGACGACCGTACTGCAGGTCGAACCTAGAACTTCCAGGTCCCTAAGGTGAATGCTTGGTAATCCATAGGAAAGCACGGAGTACTGAATAACTGTTTCTTTTGGGATGCGATTCATTAGCAGTGTGTACGAACTTGTCAGGAATGTAAAAATAAGACACTTACACTGTGTAACCTGGAAATTTAAAGTTTTATCTCTAATCTTAGTCCTTAGTGCACACTTATGAGTAGTATCATACTAGCGCCGAACAAATATCTAAATATTCCTTGACTTTTAACAGTTCATAATCGAGATTTTCCTCAAGTTTATTAAACTCCACAACAAGTTAGTCAGTTATCTTTTAAGTTTTATACAAAAAAGAAGCAAAAAGGAAAGAAATAACCTTCTTACCGTAGATACACAAGATCCATTTGAAGTAAGCGATAGCCTTGAACCATTCACTGGTAAAAATCAAACAGTAATGTTATACTGAATAAAGTTTATAGATAAATGGGAAGTTAGTTTACAAAATAAAAACTCAAAAAAGTACTGACAATGACAAGTGTGTGATACCAAATGCCCCGGTACGGTTTAGGGTGTGAGGAGTCAGCCACTGTCAGGGAAGTCCTACTCATTGTCTTCTCACGACCGGGGTATTATTCACGAAATTAAGAAGATGAAAAGCGAATGTCCGGCACTTTAAGTGGTTTGGTGGATATGGAGGATCCACCCAGCGGGTTGAGAAACCTTGATTCCAATCGAGTGGTGCACATGGACTCAAGGATCCTGAAAGAACAAATGGTGTATGAACCTATTATTGATTACCGGCTACCATGGAACTCCATTTCCTGACGTTGCTCCACTGTCTCGTGGATCAGACTTTTAGGTTGAAATCTCCGGGTGTGCCCCCCACAAGAAAATCACCTGCTTCGATCTAGGCATCCAGGCAGTATCAAAGATCACACACAAACTAAGTGATTTTTGTGGCCCATATGTATTCGGGGCCCCTTTGTACCAGTATTTATTTCCGTTTATCAGGAAGACAGGAACATTTTAGTGAGTTGACATCACACACACACACAAACAAACACCTCACTTGATGGTTATTTATTTCGATAGAAGATTACATCATTCAATTTCTGCTACACAAATTTTACCTGAGATAAACAAACAGATTAGATGAATAAAAGTTTTATAGTTTAACCACTCGTTAATAATATTGAAATATGGATATCAGACTTAAATATTTTTTGATATTTCAATATTACTTATGTACATCATCAACAGTTTGTACTTGTCATAGATCGATTTCAGTTGAGGTGTTATCGGAAACCAGGGGACACACACCAGGGGCTGCATATAAACCAGTTCGTTTAAATAAATTATAGTAGAAGCTGGTTTCTGACTTTTTGGTCTCAAGGTAGGGGAAGAGAAGCTTGAGAATAATGAACCAATGGGAACTCAGCTATGTCGGTTCAAGATCAGTATTGCTGATCTGACGTGTAATTGGTCAAATCGAGGACTGTGGGTTACAGTGGACATAGAACAGATGAGATTAGAACTGGGATTCTGATTAATGCTTAAGGACTTGATATAAGTCAGCGGTCTTCAAGACAAAACAAATTTATTCTATCATTAAAGCTTCCTATGTAAATATCCCCTTTCCTACCACCATTACATAAATTGATAATTAACATTGATAACAAATATTTAGATTAAATCACCTCCAAATCCACTGATTATTTGTGAACCAGATTCTGGGCAACTAAAGCCAGATGTTGTACCAATTAGACTGGCTGGAGCAGCATATGGTAATTTAATTGGTGTTCCAGGTGGTGCACTTATAGTTCCTGGTAAATTTATCTCATTATCTTGATTAGTTCGATTACCACTGCTACTACTATTACTCATCATTCCTTTAATCATTAAACCAGTAGATGGCATAAATTGATTATATAAATAAGATGGTGATAATGGAACAATTCCATAAATTCTTTCAGCATCATCATGCTTTGCGATAGACGATGATAATGATCTACCGTCAATTTGTCGTCGTCTTGCTCTTGTCAGTAAACTTTGTTGTTGTGATATACTCGATGCGGAAACAAGTTTATCTGACTGATTTATACTAGAATCTAGATTACATAATCTTGGTGGAATAAAATAACGATTATGCAATCCATCTCCAACAGTTTCATTGTTATTCACTTTACGTAACCAATTATATGTTGAAGGTTGAATTGGATCACATCCCATGTAACCATAATTCATAGCTCTTATCGATGCTTGAATTCTATAGTCATTAGAAAGAAATTCTTCTGTATCTGAAGCTGAGTTGAATCGTGTTAATTCATTGGTTTTCTTATCGTTTTCTACAACAAGAAAATACAATTATACAAAGTTGGATTAGCTTACTACTGAATAACTAATTAAGTAGATCAAATGAAAAACTATAAAAAAACCCATGAGATTACATCAGTTAACTAGGTGAGTCAAGTTATCAAATGTAAATCTTTGGATACCATTTAAATGATCTAAGTGTTAAGCGCTCTTCGAAAGGTCTGAAAGTCCCGGGTCTGATCCTTAGTGAGATCTGCAATGATAACTGCCAAGTCCTATGCAAGGAAGGATTAAATAGTAGTTCAGTGCATCATTGTTTTCAATAGCTAAGATCAGTTTGTGATTTAGATAACAAAAGATTACTTCTTAATTAATATGAAATTATACCAAACTACCAATCATGAGCGGGATCTACGGCGAAGTTCTGTCTTTTCTGTCTTTTCATTAGTGAGTTTGTGAATAGACTGACAAAAATTTCACTGAGTCTTTTTTCCTAATCCATGATTACGTTTTTCTCACTTATGGTCGTATATTCTCGTTGAAGATATTCATTTATCAAACGGTGGATTAATTCATTTTCCGGTACCTTAGAAGGTTGTAATTAGTTTTATAAATGATAACTGCTGCAAATTTGGAATAATGCCATTAAGAACAAACTATATTCTTAGGTTATTAGTACTTGATCATAAGTGTCTTCAAATCCATTGCTTGTGTCTTTAAGGATCATTGAATAAGCAATACTTTGATTAGGAATAGAGTAATGTGTAAGGATGGAAAGTGTATTGATGAGGGCTTAAACCTTAACAAACTGAGGTAGTTGGGATATGTGTTACATATGACCAACCACCACCGACCCCTCAGGTGATGTCTTCTGATACAGAAGGCTGGAATATAGGTAGGGGCAGCCAAACTGATGTACGTACGTACGTGCCAGTTTCTACGTTGTAATCTACTGAATGACTGACAGATAGATGTACACGTTAGATCACCTGAAGGTCAAAAATATGTTTTGAAACTATCATGATCTGTGGATCATATCAATAAAGTTGCTGATCTTTTCATAGGGTTTATACAACACAGTACTATATACAGCTAAGTTCATCATTAATGCAATGGTTTAATTGAGAAGCGAATTTCAATTGGATTATATTCCAGAATAGAATCTGCACCATAGACAATAAACTATGAAGATATAATTTCACTTTTTTCACACTGTATCATCACAGTCAAACAATAGATGACATAAGAGAGTTTTTCTTGTCAACATTAATCGGCTAATAAAAGTACTTTTACAGAATCCTTACATTGTCAATGACACTTTATACATTTCATACGTGAAATCTAGAAGCGATTACCTTCATCGAGATTGATTTGTTAGTGATAGTATTGTAGTGAACAGAACATGAGTGAGGCAATCGAATGTATTTGAGCACTAAATTACAGAGCATCTCGATGAAATCTGAGAAACGTTTAGTAAATGCTTGATTTTCAAAATGACCATCGATTGTCTTAAAATGGCTCAGACTTCATTGTTCATACAAATCGCATTCTGCTTCCATTCTTTACTGTTCGATCCTCTCGTCTCTACTGTCAGACCTTCTGTTCACGACTAACATCATATACTACTCATGTCGATAGAAGTAGCATACATCACACTCGTCACCCCATTTAAAGTAGTCGTTACTGCGGTGGTCCATGCTTGCCGTGCCACATTCTTCTTTTCTGAAGTCTGTGCTACGCCCTCCGTCAAAATGTCGAATCTGCAGTGCGCTGACCTCCGTAGCTCCGTCTACCTGCCGTGGCACCAACATCCACCCGGCACATCGGACGTTCAACTCCTGCACTCCAGCAGCCTGCTGAGCCATCTACATCCGATTTCCGCCCAGCATCCTCACATCCCATCGCCTCTATCTGTCGACAGCACCAACTAGGGCCAACGCCACCCCATCAGAGCCCTCCACTCGACGCCACCTCTCTGCACCAGACTGCCACAACTAGCACCCCAGATCCAGGCCTGCAACGGCATCCGCGGGACAACACCCTTCCCCTCCTAGTTGACAGAGACACCAAATGTAGTGAACAAGAACACGAGTGGGAACAATCGGATGTATTCGACACGAAATTACAGAGCATCTCACTAAAATCTGAGAACCATAAAGTAAATCGTTCATTTGCAAAATTTCAATCCATCATATCAAACTAGACTGTTTCTGTTGTCTCAGATTTCATTGATCATGCGTTTTCATACCAATTGCATTCCGTTCCAGTTCTTTGTTCATCGACTTTTCACTGAAATACATTCTATGCCCAACCACCGTTATACACTACTTGTGTGAATATAAGTAACCTACACCGCAGTATAATTTGATCAAAACTGTTTATTGTTTTCATCATAGAGATCAAGCATATACAAAACATTTTCCTGAATATGTTCTTGAAGTCAAAGAATAAATTGAACTTAGACACTCTATTTAAATAAATCTGCAGTGTAGTTTATGATCTACCGTCAGAAAGATCTAACTTAAAGAATTAAACTCTTGAAATTATTCAAAATGAATGATGTGACAAAATATTCCTCATAGATGTGTTCATTACTAAGATGTAGAAAGTTAAATAATCGAATAAACTAAGGGGTCATATATCTAAATAGTAAAACTCTTTAGAAACTTCTCATTTGATGCCTTTTAAAGTATCCTATCCAACAACTGTAGAAGCTTTTTTAGTAGCAAACGTTTCACTATTAATCAAGTTATGACTGTCAGTTTCAATTTCTTCACGCTGTCGAGGAGTCCCATACGAAGAAGAAACGTTTGTTCAGTGCTTCCAGGTTTTCCATGGTGATATAACTTTAATTGACTCATGAATTCAACTGCTAAATTACTATAATATCCACGAAACCCCTCTCTCTAATTGTAATCATCAAATGTTCACTACTGACGGACTCGAAGGGGTATTTCCTGGAGTTTTAGTGAGAATCCATGACCAGTGAGGTCCAACCGGGTTAGTTGTGAGATAGTAACTCACTGATGACAATAGCAGACGGTGGAGCAACTTCGTGGATTCATTGAAGTTAGATATTAACACCGTTGGATGCCGGCCAGCCCAGTTACTTACTAACTTACTTACGCCTGTTACTCCCTATCGAGTATAGGCCACCAACCACTATTCTACAGCCCACTCTCTACTGGGTCTTCTTCCTAGTTCTATCCAATTCTCATTATTTCTTCTCATGTCTGTCTCCATTTCTCAACCCAATGTGTTCTTTGCTCTTCCTCTTCTCCTTTGGCCTCGAGAATTTCATGTGAGGGCTTGTCTTGTGATGCAGTTCAGTGCTCTTCTCAATGTGTGTCCTATCCACTTCCAGTGCTTCTTCCTGATTTCTTCCTCAGTTGGTTTGTTCTAATTTGTTATCTCCCATAGTAGGTTGTTGCTAATAGTGTCAGGTCAATGGATCCGAAGTATTTTGCGTAGACAGCTGTTAATAAACACTTGTATTTTGTGGATGATGGCTTTTGTAGTTCTCCAAGTTTTTGCGCCATACAGTAAAACTGTGTTGACATTTGTATTGAAAATTCTGACCTTGATGTTGGTTGACAATTGTTTTGATTTTCAGATGCTCTTCAGTTGTAGATATTTTGCTCTTACTTTGCCGATCCGCGCTTTCACATCTGCATCAGATCTACCGTGCTCGTCAATGATGCTGCCCAGATATGTAAACGTCTTAACATTTTCCAAATCTTCTCTGTCAATTGTGATTCGATTGGTGCATTCTGTGTTGTGTCGAAAAATATTGGTTTTCCCTTTGTGTATGCTGACACCTATTGCTTCTGAGGCTGCTGCTGCACTGGTCATCTTCTCTTGCATTTGTAGTTGTGTGTACAATAGAAGAGCCAGCTCAGTGGTCTAGTGATTAAGAGTTCGCGCGCAAGACTGATAGATCCTGAATTCCAATCTCGCGGGGCGGGATCTTGGATGCGCACTGTCGAGGAGTTCAATCCTAAGACAAATGGCCATACATTGCTTCCAGGTTTTATACGGTAGTCTAACTTCAATTCACTCATGAATTCAACTATTAAATTACATTAATTATGTTTACTTTAATCAAAAGAAAATAAGAGAATTATTTAATTTCAGATGGGTTTTGTAGATATTATAATAATTTCAACGGTTAAGATCATGAGTCGGCTGAAGCTAGATCACCATGGAAAACCTGAAAGCACTGGACGGCCGTTTCTTCATACTGTGGGACTTCTCAGCAGTGTGCACCCACGACCTCGCTTCAAGAGATTCGGACCCGGGACCTAATGGTTTCTCGAGCGAGCACTTAACCACTAGACCACTGAGCCGGCATCCAACAGTGTTAATGTCTAACTTCAACTAATCTATGAAATTGAGCTACTATATACACTTGTCATCAGTGAGTTGCTATCTCATAACCGACCTGGTTGAATTCCACTAGAACTCCAGAAAATACCTCTCGAAGTCAGTCACTAGTGAGCTTCCCAGTTTTCCATGGTGGTCTAGCTTCAACTGAATCATGATCTTAACCAATGAAATAATTGAATGAATAAAGATTATTAAATATTAATTTACAACTTACCAGTTCCTGAAATGGACATTAATCGTCTTTCATGTTGATTTAATAAATCTTCCACATCTGAACATACACCATTTTTTATATCCATATTAGTATATTCATTATTATTATTATTATTATTGTTACTAAGGGATTGTAAATGGAAATTGTTTATGATTGGTTGATTATTATGTAATTTATGACACCAATAAAATCTTGAATTCAAAGGGGAATAACTATTCGATTGTTTATGAATAGAATAATCAGAATGATTATTATTATTATTGTTTATAGAGTTAATGAATGGTGATGGTGATGATGGTGATACTGATGTTGATGTTGATGATGGTGATGGTGGTGTTGAGGATGATGGTGGTGTTGAAGATGATGGTAATAAACAATTGTCCATGTAAGAATGTTTTTCATTGAATTGAATTGGAGGTTCTGTTTTGATGTTTTTCATGATTGTTTGTTTTTTTCTATCGATACTTGAACTGAAGAAAAAAAAGGTTAATAATTACAAATTGTGAGAAAGAGAATGAATGTAATTTTTGATTGAGATTATGAATCGATTCATGTTAGATCACCATTAGAAATTTGGAAGTACTTGAAGATCGTTTGGTTCTAGTATGAGAATCCTCGTAAGTGTGTATCCACGAACTCGCTCGTGGGAATTCGAATCCAGGACCTGCGCCACCGCAAATACGTTTGAGTTATGTTATTCAAAATCTCCAATCACGGGTTTTGATAATCATGTGGATTTCAACCAAGTGGTGTATACTTGTTAACATAGCTCAGTTCAATTGTCGCTGACTTCATAAACTGATGTGATATTTTGGTTCTGTGACCCTTAGCTCTCCTCCATTCTGCCTCTACATTAGACAACATCACCCATCAAGGTAGGTAATAGTTGAGCACATGTATTACAAGTCTTAACCATCTCAGTTGATGAAAAGTCACTACTACACCAATAGATTTTCCATCCTTATCTAGTGCTCTATTTCTAACCAAGGCATTGCCTACTTGGTGGTTATAAAATATACGAGCGATCCCTACACTACATTTATTTAAAAGCCTCTCAAAATAGCTTGCCAGTACACAAAGTTAGCATTCACAGTCACTATGTATTCAAATATTTGTATCATATTTGAAAAACAATTTAGTGGGTTGCCTAAGTTTTGCACTCGTTTTTACATATGACAATATATGTAATTAGAGTTGAGTGCATAACTGTCTAATTGATTACTCCATCTTATGAAAATGTTTATTCAATGCACCAAACACCACATAAATAGAGTTAGATTAACGCCATATTATATCGCAAACTATGTGATGATGAAGGAGATTTGTAACTCAGATGGATGTTTTGGTAGAGTTTTGTTCACTGAGCAACACCATCAGCACAAACTTTATATAGAAGTCATTCAGAATAACGATAAAAGCTCCACAACCAAACCATCCAGCTCAGAGAACAAAACCTCTACCAATATCGCAAACTAATTAAAGCTGGAATTATGCTATTGGACATTGATTTATTGATTCTGTAGGTAAATGTTCACTGTGAAACCTTGAGGTCTTAGTTTCGACCTCTACCATGGTCATAGGTATACACTTCTGAAGAATAACATACTAGGATGAAACATCTGTTCAGTACTATTACAATTAAAACCAATCTCTGATGAATACAATCTACAAATTAAACCAACCTCCATAACATATATAATTTATCAAAAGGGGTTTGTGGAGATTTTTAGATATTTTCACAGATTGAAATCATGAGTCAGTTGAAGCTAGACCACCATTGGAAACCTGGAAGCACTAGGCGGCCGTTTCGTCCTAGTATGGGATTTCTCAGCAGTGCGCATCCACGGTCCCGCACCACGCGTGGCTCGAACCCAGGACCTACTGGCTTCGCGCGCCAGCACTTAACCATTAAACCTGACTGATGATTTTAATCTGTGAAAATTTCTAAAAATCTCCACAAACCCCTTCTGATAATAATCATCTGCTCACTAGTGACTGACTTCAAGAGATACTCCTGGAGTTCTAGTGGGAAGCCGTTACCAGTGGAGTACAACCAGGTCTGTTGTGAGATATCAGCTCACTGAAGACAATGGTATATGGTGGCGCAACTTCGTGGATTGGTTGAAGTTAGACATTAACACCGTTGGATGCCAGCTCAGTGGTCTAATGGTTAGGTGTTCGCACGCGAAGCCAGTAGGTCCTGGGTTCGAGCCACGCGTAGTGCGGGATCGTGGATGCGCACTGCCGAGGAGTCCCATACTAGAACGAAACGGCCGTCCAGTTCTTGCAGGTTCTCCATGGTGGTCTAGCTTCAGCTGACTCATGATTTCAATCTGTGAAAATATATCATTTATGACAAACAAAATATAAGTTTAATTCATTAAAATAAGAATTCACCTTAAATTTGTCATTCCATCAGATAATTGTGCGGTTGATGAATTACTATTACCATTATTATTCATTGATGAACTGTCACTTAATCGATTCATCCTATTTAATTCTGGTAAATCAGGCATCCATAATGATTCTTGCGCTTCTCTCATACCTTCTTGTAATCGTTCATGCATACGACGTGCATAATTGCCTAGATTCTCTTCTTCGTCTCCACCACCACAACCACCACCACCACCACCTCCTCCAACTCCTCTTCCCTGTTGTTGAGATTGTTGTTGTTCATGATGAACATCAATTTGATGAATAGATGATTTCATAGAACTAAAATTTAACATCTTTGATTGATATATCATAGAATAAGGATTATGTAAATTTCTTGGCAATGATCCAATTATATTAGTATGATGTAATGGATCATTCATATTTGATTGTTTTGTTTGTAATGGTAATGTGAAATTTATATTATGAATTGGTAAATTAATACATTCTATTCCACTATCTGATTGATAACCACAATAGATTCGATTCATTTGATGATGATGATGATTATTATTATTATCGGATGGATGAAACTTTTTATTCATGAAATCAGATTGTAATGAATTACTTTTATATAGATCAACTTTCTCTGATACACATGGATTGGATTGTAATTGCTGTTGTTGTTGTTGTTGTTGTTGAGGTTGCTGCTGTTGTTGAGGCTGTTGCTGTTGTTGTTGGCGATGTTGCTGTTCATGTTGTTGTTGTTGTGGAAGTTGCTGTTGTTGTTGTTGTTGCTGTTGGTGGTGGTGGTGGTGGTAGTGTTGTTGTGGATCAAGATTATTTCGATGAATCTCATTGGATTTTGATGGGATTAATTGTAAATTACTTTCTGAATAATATTGATTTATTAATTGATTATTTTTTGATAGATTATCATCAGTTAAAGTATTCGATTGTTGTAATGTTTGTATAGTTATTGGATTTGTATTAGTTTGTTCAATGGATTGAGTAATCAATGTGTTATTTCTATGTTGGTTCGTTTCATTATTCTGATTTGGTTTTAGAATAGTTTTCATATCAGATGTTTGTATTTTATCATTATTATCATCATCATCATTATTAAGATGGTGTTGTTGACGATGATGATGATGATGACGACGATGTGGATTTACAGAATCATTATTCATAGTGTTATTATGATTAGTTGATGGATAACGTTGTTTTAAAGCAACATATAATTCACGAGCTTTACGACGTTGTTCTGTATTGTCTATGGATTTTTTACTTAAACTTCTATGATATGATTGTTGTTCTATATTGATTACTGATAGAGTTGGTGATGTTAATCCTGATGATGTGGTCTCTGTTGTAATTATTTCAGTAGATTGGATAGGATTAAGTGTACCGGATTGAGAATGATAATAATTTGAATGAGTAGTTTCTGATGAAGGTTGGATAGCTTCTTTCACTTGATTACATTTTAATAAAAGAAGAATATAAAAATGGCTATTATATATGTATATAACCAAGTTACGGTATTTATGATAATGACAACTAGTAGTTAGGTGAGTTAGGGTGATGTAGCTCACAGTTCGTTGTAGTCACGAATACAAGTCATAATAAATACTTATCGAATAAACCCGACGGATTTGAGAAAGTAGCATTTTGCACAACATTACCTTGTACCTTGTTGAAAGTAAATTAGCACCTATCAATATTTCGATACGATAACGCTTAAAATTTACTGGTGTGGTAAGGCTAAAAAAGACAGAAAGACACTTAAGCGTTCTGAAGAGTGGTCCTGGTAAATCTATTAGTTTTTCATTGAGATCCTGAACTGATTTAAGCTAGACAGCTGTTTAAAATTTGTAAGGACTAGATGACCGTTCCATCCTATAGTATGATACTCCAAAGTAATGCACATCCATGACGCCGCATGAAGGAATAGAATCCATGATCTTCAGTCTCACACGCAAACACTTAATCTCTAGACCACCGTTGGATGCTATCTAAATGATCTACAGGTTGAGAATTCGCACAACAGACTGGGAGTCCTGGGTTCGATTCCCGTGAGCAGGGTTGTGGTTGTGCTCTACTGAGGAGTCTCATACTTAGCCGTCTAATGTTTCTAGTCTCACAATGGTGGTCTAACATTGATGGGCTCATAATTTCAATGAAAATTCAACAATCCCAACAACCCTATAATTACTACTAGTTTTTAATGTAAAAAGTAGTCAAAACAAATCGAGATAAAATGTATTTAACATTTAAATAATGATATATGAATTTTTCAATGTAAGTTAAATTTTCCTTAGATTTGAAATAGTAGAACCGACCATGTATTTATTTCTATAAAAGGCTACAAACCAATCACTCATTGTGATCCTATTTCCCAAATCCTAAACTTAATTCTTGTTTGATTTTGCTACAATTAAATGTTCACTTATGTTGTTTGTAAGCAAAGATGGATAGTGACTAGCAGTGGAATCCAAGACGCGCGTTTCGTCCTATTCGGGCCTTGTCAGCTGAATGTAATCGCATCTCAGAGTTAATGTTCACCTTGGGACTCGAACCCAGTACCGTACAAGAGACTGATCAACTGCAGTCTTAAATAACAATGGGAAGATACAAATAAAACAATACCAAGTGAATTATGTTGTTTGTTTTTCAACTGGTTAAAAGCTGCACACAACTCTTAAGATCAAGTATAAATCTTCTCATGATGGTCTGTGAATTTTCGTTTCCCACTTCTGTGACGTTAATATTTGTATATTGAACAATGAATGGACATATCTCCATCTTATAAAGACCAGTTGTAACTCAAACAGTACACTAATGATGACATGTTTATTTACGATATTGAGTCAATCAAGCTTAAGATGTACGAGTGGGCATGTTCATTACCTCAACACTTCAGATACTTCGTTTTAACAGTCATCATATAATACAAAGTGTTTGCTTAAGTGTTCCTAGTAATTACTTATAGACCAATAGTGCATAAGATAGAATGAAAGTGACTATCATCAAACGAGATTATTACAGGTAATCTAATTATCAAGTGTTCTTTTCTTCATACCTCTGGAAATTTACACTTTTATGCATATTTGAAATTCACTTACCATTTTGTGTTTGAGACGATATATTAGGCAAATATTTATATGTCAGATTGGTTGATGTACTACTACTGCTAGTAGTAGCTGCATTCATTTCTTGTCTAGTTTTTGTTATCAATGATGTTTTATTAACTTGCTGTACTGAATGCATGGATTGATGATTAGATACATTTTGAGCTTGATTTGTCTCTTGAATTATAACACGACGACTTATAACTGCATTATTTTTGTTTATAATCGTAGTTGTAGTTATACCATTGATAGTAGAAATAGTAGTAGTAGTAGTAGTGGTGGTGGTCGTCGTTATGGCAACAGTAGGAGCAGCATTTGTTACACTTGAATAATTACAGTGTGTAACTGACATAAAATTGGAATTCGGCGCTTGAGTAGCTGGACGATATGAAATCGGTGGAACAAATGGTTGTATTATTGGTGAGTATTGTTGTATGTTTACAGTGGATTGATGATTGTGTATTTGTGTACATTGTGTGAGCGGTAGTGGTGGTGGTGGTAGACCTATGGGTATTGATTGGTTAACTGTAGAACAAATAATATTAGTATCATTTGAATAAGGAATACCAGTTTTGATAATGTGTGAATTTGATTGAAGCGGTATTGTTTGATGATGGGATTGATGAGTTTGCCGGGTAGGTTGAAAGTGTTGTTGTTGATCAGTCCTTTGTTCAAATATACTGTTTCCTGTCATATAACGTCGTGTATCATGAAGATAATTAGACATTAATGGTTGTATTGTGCTTGTTGATATTGAATTGATTGAATGAGATTGCTCTGGTGTAATTGGATGTTGAAACTAGACAATAACAATAACAAAATAGTAAAACGTTATCAGTTTAATATATTACTTATATTCAATTAGTAAGAAATTAGTGTTTGGTAGTTATGTATCTTATATATAAAACTATTATAGCTCTCTTGATGTTTACATTAAAATGAATTTGATATAACCCTTTTCCGTTTAGATCTATCTTAATTCATCTAATTAGAATAGTACGGTCAGTCAATAATTCATACAATATGACTAGTTTTCCGGATGAATACTTTCATCATTGTCATATCCGAACGAAGAATAGGTGAATGGTAACTGACTGGGATTATTTATGGATTATTATCATGATATGTATTCCCATTGGATATCTATTAAGTAACTAGATTATATATATACACCAAGGTCAGAATTTTCACTACAAATGTCAGCATAGTTCTACTGTATGAGATGGAAACCCGGAGAACTACGAAAGCCATCATCCACAAAATACAAGTGTTTATTAACAACTGTCTACACAAAATACTTCGGATCCGTTGACCAGACTTTATCAGCAACAACCTACTATGGAAGAGAACAAACCAGATCCCAACGGAGGAAGAAATCAGGAAGAAGCACTGGAAGTGGATAGGACACACATTGAGAAGAGCACTGAAGTGCATCACAAGACAAGTCCTCACATGGAATCCTTAAGGTCAGAGATTGAGAGGAATACGAAAGAACACATTAGTTCGGGAAATGGAGACAGACATGAGAAGAATGAATGAGAATTGGATAGAAGTAGGAAGAAGGCCCAGTAGAGAGTGGGCTGTAGAATAGTGGTTGGTGGCCTATGCTCGATTGGGATGAACAGGCGTAACTAAGTAATTAAGTAAGTAATATATATTTTCTTTTTATTATGAGCTTCCATTTGACCTATTGACTACCATTATACGATCTACTATTCCTAAGTTATTCCCAATATCATCCACACTATAGTACCTCAAACTTTTAGTGAATTTTTAGTTAAATTCTCAAAGTAACATTAGTAGACGATTACAAGTACTTTATATAGGCCATAGAATCACTCATCATCACTGATCTATTCAATTTTTTTTAGGACAACATTGTAGTCTTTTTATCAAGAGAATACTGGTTTCGAACTATCATATCTGACACAACAACCAAAACATTTAAGACAACTCTTTACTTACAGTTTGATGATTATTTCAGAATATGCCATACATCATTATGACAACTTTTAGTTAAACCAATTTAATTATATCTATAATTTATGGATGACCTTTGAACGGTGCTAAAGTGACCTTGACGGGGTCCACCTCATAACCAGGATCAAATGAGGGTTATGAACCTGTATGAGGAATTATAATTATAATTTACAGTTGATGATTAAGGTTAGTGATAAGTCTTGCTAATTGAACGCTGTATTCGATTCCTAAGCTATTCTCATAACCCACAAGCTAGAACTACATAGCGACCTGAACTCGAGAGAAAAGGCGCAAAATATGCAAGAAGCACTTTACTCCAAAGGTTCGTTTTAGTACAGAAAATATAGGGTTTTTATAGTATTTTAGATGTCCTTAGGTTTCCCGAAGATTCTGGAATACTACTAAAGATAGTATCAGTATAGTAATCAGCCAATCAGAAACTCTACATGTGACTTTTCACTTTCTTGATATTTCTGGCCAAACTTCAAGTGAACGCTGAATGGATGAAATGCTTCTTAATGTTTCCTGAGTCTTTCTTGTCTTTTGCGAGAAGGTTTCTAGATCACCTCAACAGTTAAGAATTAGATTTAGGGGGTTCTCATCACGAACTGACATAATCTATAATGACAAAATTCTATTTATGTAAATGGATGAGTGAATTTCGCGCGTCAAAATCCCAAAAACTGTTATCTTATACCTGATTAGTTCGTCCATAACTTATAGTCTCTTCCATTCTATCATTATATATTTTCATAATATCATGCATAACCACCATAATAATTTTTCACTTACTTCATTTGTTCCCGAGATAAATGTATTTGGATATTGGATAGAATGATGTTGATGTTGATGTTGATGATAATGTGAAGGATGATGATGATGATGATGAGGCAGCGGCGGTGGTAGAGAAGGTGAATAATTCATTGATGATGATATTTCTTGAGATGTAGTTATTTGTTTTAAAGTTTGGTTTGTATTTTGTTGATGAATATTCATTGGTGTAGTCGTAGTCGTAGCCATCGTCGTCGTCGTAGTAGTAGTATGTGGATGAGTAGGAGTAGTAGTACTAGTACTAGTACTAGTATGTATAATATTTCCAGATAATTTATTCATACATGTTATTGATTGATTATAGTTTATTGAATATGGATATTGTTTCTGTGTAGTAGTAGTAGTAGTAGTAGTAGTAGTAGTATTATTATTATGATAATATTGACTTAATGTTATACGTGGTTGAATATTAGTTGTTTGATATGTATTATCTATACTATTCATATTCATATGACAAGTTGTATTATTAATTGAATGATTATCTAAAGTTGATTGATTTTGAATTGGATAATTCATATATGGAATACGATCGATTTTTGTTGGGGATTCTTTAATCTTTGAAGACGATGATGATGATGATGATGACATATGATATGAATTCATATTAGATTGTTGATATAAATTTAATTGACGTGGCATTGGTATACCAGATGAAGTTATTGTTGTTGATAATGGTAATATATTCTCTATTGTAGACGAGATAATCTCTGTTGTCTTGATTAATTTTTGTTCCAAAGATAATTTTGGTGATAAATTAGTTATATAATGAGAATTTTGTAATTTATTTCTATCGATTTCACTTGGTGATAGTTTATTGATTATTGATTTTTTTGGTGATGGAGAATTTCTTTGTTTTTGATGATAGTTGTTATGATGCTGTTGTTGCTGCTGCTGCTGATGATGATTGGATTTTGTTTTGGATGACTTAATATTCAAATCTAAGATAAGGAAGAAAGGAGGGAAAAGGAAATAATATGATGATTATGTCTTTTTCGTTATGAATAAATTTTAGATTAACTCCGCCTGTAGCCCCTCTGAGGCTACTGACGGTCCCAAGCCAGAATAATGGAGGAGGTTTGGGCATGGGGTTAGTGATCCCATCGCGTAGAAAACCAACTCGCTAAAAGAAACGCTGACCAGAAAAAAGATAATTCAAACCATTTAAATTCTGCCCTGGGAGTTAGAAGGTTTTCATTAAGAAGAGTTATCACGCCTCATGGTGAAAGCCGTGTTTCTTTGGATGCCCTTTCTGACAACCAGAACGACCATCAATTTATGTACATAGAGTACTGGTACAATGTAGAAGACCGGGAGAATCTTCTAAATTTCTGTAAGTTTTAGATTAAATAATCAATGAGAGCCAGGACAATTGTTTTATTCTGGTATTGAATATTTAAGCCATACACACCTTACTAAATATTTAACTTAAGAGCTTGAGACCACTTGATAAAAGCTTGACAATCAGACTATTAATTTAGCATCTAATGATCCGGATTTTTAACTCTAATTAACTCATAATATTACGCATCCATCTCCTTATGCCAATAATAGTAAGTAATTACCTCACATTACATATTATATCATGATACATTGTATGTCTCATTTTTGATTGGCATATTGAAAATTTATGTACCACTCATTCTTTTGAATTATCATTGTAGGGTTATGGAGATTATTAAGTTTTGATTGAGATCACGAATCGATTGATGTTAGACCGCCACCTGGAAGCACTAGAGGGCCGTCTCGTCTAATTGTGGAACTCCTCAGCAGTACTCACTACTGAATAACTTCGTGAGGGAATTCTCGGAATTCTAGTAAGAAGCTATGACCAATGGAGCTAATCCATGTCAGATAAAGATAGGTATCTACCTCAGTACATTGTAAGATGATCGCGCAATTTCGCGGATTGGTTAAGGTTAGACACTAACACCGTTGAATGCCGGCTCACTCAAAGGTCTAGAGGTTAAGCGTGTAGCGACCTGCTTTTATGAAAAGAACGCGATTGACATAATGGAAACAGTTATTATTATAACTAATTGTACTAGTGATTGTTTTACTGTACCTGTTTGTTTAAGTGTACTAAAAACATACATTCTTCCGTTTACTGTAACCTTGCACGGACTCGCGTACACTTAGTAGTTACGATTGTAGACTTTGGCACGATCTCGGTACCACGAGATTGCCATCAAATATATCTGATTACAACCATCAACTGCCCTCTGATTTTTGAACTGCAGAGAAATCCAACCTAATAACTGGCACGTTATCTTCCTGTAGTGGTGATCATAGTCAATCGCGACTCGACGCCACACTACAAGAGTTCGCGCGCAAGAGTGAAGGCCCTGGGTTCGAACCCCGTGGGCAGGATCGTGGATACTCACTGTTGAGAAGTCACACAATAGGATGGAATGGCCGTTCAGTGCTTCAAGGTTTTCAATGGTGGTCTAACATCAATCGATTCATGATCTCAATCATTCCTTTGAAAACAATTCCTTATAACAATTGAACTTGATTATGAGAAAAGAATTAAGCAATTAACTTCTTATTAAAAGTAGGTTTTGTGCACTAGGCAGTAAAATTATACATTTCATGGCTTATTGTTTGAACTATCACCTTTTAAATTTTAACTACTTGATCACACAGATTAAAACCCTAATGATGGGTCGATGTGTAGTGACCAATATCTTGTTGGTCTTGTCCGATATCTACAAGTGAAACTCTATCGATTAAGTCTTAATGTGACCATGAATCTGAGTAAGTAAATATCGTTTTCACTACTTTTTAATGTAAATATATCTCAGCTCTATCGATAGTGAGTTGTGGATCAAATAGATCAGCAGTAACATCTTTCAGAGAGACCAAGTGATTTGGGTTTAAATCCAACAGGGTAAATTAGTTCTTCCATGGTTGTAGGTCTCCTTAACAGATAAGCATTAAATGGCACAAACTTAGGTTCAGAGTGTCCTGGAGATTATCTTCAACCAGCCAACAAGTTCAAACCTTCTTAACTTAACTGGGTTTAAGGAATCGGGTACTGTCACAAGATATTTCAACGGAAAGTGTTAAAAATTAGGTGATAAGAACCTTCTGATGACGTATATCTAAAATTATTGCAGCATGTTTCGTGATTAAATCGAAAATATTAAAAAGAACTAACGCTTTTATGGTACTCCAGCGTTTGTAAATAGTAAAAACAGTTAAGCATTCATTTACTTGAATGACTGACTAGATGAAGTCAAGTGTGTGTAAAGTGTAATCGATAAACGAACTCACCATTAATAAAGTGAAACGCCCACCACCACATTAACCTTCTTTGACCTTGTATGACTATGTTTTGTTTATTCACCAATCACAATTTTATGTTCATTATAAAACATTATAAACTCATTTTTCTTATCCTCTGGTTATTGTTTCAAACACATAAAGTTTATCAAGCCAAATAGCTTACTTGTTCTGACTTTGGCTAAACCAAGACTCTGTGCTCGACAGTCTAGAGAATAGCTTAGAGTTACACTTGTAGGAAATTGCTTCCTACAATTGGTTATCACATCACATAGAACAATAGACACATTCTGATGAACAATATTCAAATGATCATATTGTTGTAAAACTGAATAATTATAAGATTTCCATAGTCCCCTGAGTTAAAATATCACTCTGTGCTTATTAAGGAACTAGTTTCTAGAGGTAATACCTAGAGTTCTGTTAGGAGGCCGTGACTACTGGAATTCAATCATGTCAGGAGTGAGACAAACACCATTCATTGCAATGGATAATAGTCATGTTATAAGGTGAATTGACTGAATTCAAAAATGAAAAGTCAATGCAAACAAGGATAGAGCTGAGTCTCCTGACTTCAAACCCTGTTGGAGTCGTAATTGTACATATTTGGAGAGTCCCATGGTAAGATAAAACATTTGCACAATCCATACTGGTTTTCAATGATTGTCTAAATGAATTCAGTTTGTGGAGAAGATCACAAGTCCAACAATCCATAAAACTCTTTATACTAAGAAGGTGAACATCTGGTTAATCAATTACATTCGCGACGTGTAACTAATATTTGCCAAACTTGTAAAAGATGACACACGAAAGGTTCGAATATGTGCATTTTCTAGAATGTTATCTGAAAGGGTATCATAATTTTTTGCAATTTGGGTGTGTGCGAGTGTGTAGAGAGGAATAGAATCCCTTCTTTTGAATATCAGTTGGTCAGTGGATAAACAATATAATATGAAGCACATGTATACATTCATGAGTTAATTGAAACTAAACCACTATGGAAAACCTGGAAGCACTGGACGGCCGTTTCGTCCTATTGTAGGACTCCTCAGCAGTGCACATCCACGACCTTGCTCCCTGCGAGATTCGAATCCAGGACCTACTGGTTTCGCGCACGAACATTTAACCACTGGACCACAATAGAACGGAACGGCCGTCCACTGCTTCCAGGTTTTCCATGGTGGTCTAGCTTCAACTGAATCATGATCTTAACCGTTGAAATTATTATAATATCCACAAAACCCATCTGAGAATGATCATGAGTTACTCCTTGTGCTGTACGAAATTCACCTTCAAACTACTTATAAGTAGCTTAGAAAAATAAACAGAAAATTAAAAAAACTACATTTCGTAGCCAATAATAAATGTAACTCAAGTTTTCATTTTTGTTGTCTATTCATAGGTTTTCTAAGAAAAACACTATAAAATATATGAATGAGAAAAAAAACGTCTATCGATAATAACAAAGCAGTTGAGTACATGTTGCTCTGAAGTGTATATGTACATGTGTACGTGTGTCACAATAGTTCATACATTATTCTCACAGTTTAAATTGATTCCATTTGGCGCCTATTGTCAATTCAGCTAACTTACAGTCCAATAGTGTTACATTAGAAACATTAGTTTCTTATGTGAATTTATTGATAATGAATTCAAAGATGGAAAAGCGTGAGAGGTTTTTTTGAATTTAACTTCGTTTATCATTTATCATTGGGTTTGTTTGTTTGTTTTTCTGATATCATGAAAAGTATACCAGTGTTATTCAATATAACTTCGAACTATTATGAGAGATTTATAAGTTTTTTAGTTTTACAAAAGTTAATTGTGAGGTTTTGTTGTTGCTTTTTTACTTGGAAATAAATTTAGAACATATGCCTGTCACTCACAATGAAACAGCATTCTCTAATCCACTCTCTACTGGGACTTCCTTTCAAGTTCCATCCTATTTTTATTCATTCTCTTCATGTCTATCTTTATTTTCCAGCTTATTGTGTTTTTGAGTCTTCCTCTTTCCCTTTGGCCTTCAGGATTTCGTGTGAGGGCTTGTCTTGTGATGCAGTTCGGTGCTCTTCTCAATGTGTGTCCTATCCACTTACAGTGCTTCATTTTGATTTCTTCCTCCACTGGAATCTGATATGTTCTCTCCCACAGTAGGTTGTTGCTGATAGTGTCAGGCGAACGGATCCGAAGTATTTTGTGTAGACAGCTGTTAATAAACACTTGTATCTTGTGGATGATGGCTTTTGTAGTTCTCCAAGTTTTTGCGCCATACAGTAGAACTATGTTGACATTTGTATTGGAAATTGTGACCTTGATGTTGGTTGCCAATTTTTTTGAGTTCCAGATGTTCTTCAGTTGTAAATATGCTGCTCTTACTTTGCCGATCCACGCACTCACATCTGCATCAGATCCACCGTGTTCATCAATGATGGTGCCCAAATATGTAAATGTATTTACATCTCCCATAGCTTCTCTGTCAAATGGGATTTGATTGGTACACGTTGTGTTGTATCGGAAACATATGACACAACTTAAGTTTAGAACACTGACATTTACAGCTGATGATTTAATGACCAATTTGGATAGAGGAAGCATCATTAGGTACTTACAACATGTTGGAGTGTTGAAGACAATACTTACTTATGAATGATTTGAA